GTGTAATAATATTTCTTCAAGAAAAAAATTTGTGATGTAAGATTATTCAAGTTAATTTTTTATAAACAGAAATAATATGTTAATTATCAAGATAACCTATACGTGTTAGCAAAGAGACAGAAAGGAGACAAGAAAAAAATTTGTGATGTAAGATTATTCAAGTTAATTGTTTATAAACACAAATAATATGTTAATTATCAAGATAACCTGTTAGCAAAGAGACAGTGATTAGAGTGAAAAACTTTTATTTAATGTGTTCAGAAATGCACTCATTCCACTGTAATAGACTCCCTGTTTTCAATCAAACAAAACACGTTAATACAGGTTCATAGTGTGTATAAATATAAAATATATTAGTTTCACTAATTGCATAATAGGTGGCATTCTCAAAAGACATTTACTATTAGCAGCATTCCCCTTTCTCTCCCCTTAAATTTTGGCTCCTTGATATGATTGAAGTAAAACTCCATATGACATTTGAGAACATATATAATGCTAACACAATGTATCTCTTTTTCATGTTTTGTTTCACAGAATTTAGTGTGTGTTTTTTCATGTTTTGTTTCACAGATTTAGTGTATGTTTTTCTTATGTGACTATACATGTGTCATTTTTAGTATGGAGTCTTATATTGCTGTCTTCCACTGGTAGAGAACACATATGAAGGAAGAAAACCAAGTCTTATACATATGTAAGTTGTCACTGAAGTACATCTAACATTTAGCATGTTAAAAAAGCAAAAAACAGATATATGGATAGACCAATAGATCTTTAAAAAATATTTGATCTTAATTTTAACTGATAGGGATCAATGTTGAAGGTGACTTATGCGATACATATTGAACCATTACAAGCATATCTGGATAAGAAAATGTAGCTATTTTGAAATGTAGTTAGTACCCATACAGCATGTGTGTGTTAATGTTTGATCTTTCTTTTTCTATTAAGATTTATTAAGCAGAGAGTTAAGAGTTGAGTTTTATTTTTACAAATCTTACTAGGCCTTCTGTGTCTGTTGGCTTTGCTGTGCTGCTTTCTCTTGCAAATTTTACTGGACCAGTCTACCCAACTATGAAAGAGGTATTGTTTGTTTTTTAAGTTTTATCTTACTATAGATGTTGTACATCTTTATTATGATGTAGTCCTTGTATAACACATTAAATAATATTTTATAAACATTGGAAAATGTGAGTGCTCCATAATTCTGATTTTTGTGAAATGATCAAGATGTATGTCTCGAGCATGTGGTTAAATACAAGATGTAAGTCTCGATCATGTAGTTAACTAAAAGATGTAAGTATCGATCACGTGGTTAAATACAAGATGTAAGTCTCGATCACATAGTTAAATACAAGATGTAAGTCTCGATCATGTGGTTAAATAAAAGATGTAAGTATCGATCATGTGGTTAAATACAAGATGCAAGTCTCGATCAAGTGGTTAAATAAAAGATGTAAGTCTCGATCACATAGTTAAATAAAAGATGTAAGTCTCGATCACATAGTTAAATAAAAGATGTAAGTATCGATCATGTGGTTAAATACAAGATGTAAGTCTCAATCACATGGTTATATACAAGATGTAAGTATCGATCACGTGGTTAAATACAAGATGTAAGTCTCAATCATGTGGTTAAATAAAAGATGTAAGTATCGATCATGTGGTTAAATACAAGATTTGTCTCAATCACATGGTTAAATGCAAGATGTAAGTCTCAATCACGTGGTTAAATACAAGATGTAAGTCTTGATCACGTGGTTAAATACAAGATGTAAGTCTCGATCACGTGATTAAATACAAGATGTAAGTCTCGATCATGTGGTTAAATACAAGATGTAAGTCTCAATCACGTGGTTAAATACAAGATGTAAGTCTCAATCATGTGGTTAAATACAAGATGTAAGTCTCGATCATGTGATTAAATACAAGATGTAAGTCTCGATCATGTGATTAAATACAAGATGTAAGTCTCGATCACGTGGTTAAATACAAGAGGCAAGTCTCGATCACGTGGTTAAATACTGAAAAAAGTTAACTTTATAATAATATCTTACATTAGTTTAATATAGTAAAATGGAAATAAAACTTTAATAGTCTAAATTTTCTTAATTCTTGATACACTTTCTTGAACTTTTTTTTCAGGTGTCGATGCGGAAATGTTCTGAAATTGAGTCTTTTCTTACCCTGAGCATGCCGTTTGGCCAACCTTGTGACACGGATTGGCAAACTGTGTGTGAACTACAAACATTGAAGAATGAAACCACCAGTAAAATGGATCAGAAAGTAACCTTCTAAAAAAGAAATATTATTATCTAGAATGTTTTTGTTATTAGTTATTTTTAGAAATCTGATACAAATGTTTGAATCATTGAAAGTTTTGAATTTTTTTTCATATATTAGAATTTATTGTATCATAAATACTAAGGAAACCTCAGACTTTATTTTAAAGGAAAAGTTTAGTAACTTATTTCAGTTTATATTATAACCTGTTACTTGAACTTTAAAAAAATTTGATTTGGTACAATACCTTAAGCAACTTAATGATTTAGATAAACTTTATAGGATTAAATTCATGGTTTCTATAAAGTTTGTTCAAAACATCCTTTGGTCTAGACCTACCTGCACTAGTACTTTTGAGAAGTTATCTCCCGCATTAAGATAGTATTTGGAGATCTTCTTATATAATGTGAAGTAATGTTATTGATGATTTTATGGCAGTCTTAAGAATGTGACTCAATTGTCAGGAGACCCTGATTATAAATATGTTAAAGATTAGCCAATTGTAGTTAAAACATTATATATATAGTAGCTAGTTTGTCCATCAAGAAAGTTTTATAATTATGCCTATAACATCTGGTTTTCTAAAGTTTAAACCAAACTGCGAATGAAATATAAAAAATACAACATTTGTGAGTTTTTATCAGTATCAAATTACGTAAACGTATATTTTAGAATTTAGTATTTCATATAATTTGTGAGGTTTTTTAACAGATTTAACAAGTATTAAGTCAAATACGTCCTAGCTAAGCAAATAACTTCCTGGAGATGTTCATTGTTAGTGCAAAATATTCATTCCATTTTCTCTAACTGTAAGTAATACCGTGGAGCTTTTATCACTTGCATCTCGAAATGTAAAACTTGGTATTAGATATGTATTAGTAATTCAAATTGTTTACTTCAGTTTCTCTAACTGTAAGTAATGCCATACTCGGGTCTCAAAATGCAAAAATTTAAAATATGAGTGGATGTTAATCATGGGTGGTTGTGACACTATTACAGGATGCCGAGAAATGAATTTAAAGATACTTTGGTTGTTATGTTTTTGTAGTTTTTCTAACTTTAAATATGTTTTTTTGTTTATAAATAATGCAGTTTTGCTGTATTATTTGCAACATTTACTAATAGTTATGAGTTTTTTTTTGTTAGGTAACATTACAAATAACAAAACTACCCTGTTTTACATTCTGTATCAGTTTTTGTTTTTAAGATAATAATATGTTTGTGTTTTTTGCATTCTATAAAACTTAATAATTTTTTTGTTCCTTAACCCTGTAAGTGCTGGTCACAGTCATGCTATACTGGTAATTCATCCACCATACATTGTTGGAATGATGCATTCTGCTACTCCAAATGGTTCTGTCATCTCTTGATAGCTTGAGGAATTTTTTTATCTTTATTTGCATGCATGGAAAATTGGAACTTTGGCAAGGTTATCTTCTGTGCTGTATTTGTTTACAATCTGTGTGAGAAAGGTTCGATACCATAGGCTAATAATGGTTGAAGTATTTCAGTAAACATTCTTAGATTCACTGAATGATGAAACCAGGCTGTAATCGACTGTTTAGGATGGAATTGTGAAGTATTTGACCTCAAGTGATGTGAATATAGGCCTGCTTCATTGGCAAAAAGTATTTGACACTCAAAGGGTTAAGATTACCTTTTTACATGTTTTATTCTTAATTTGTTTTCATGAGATATTCATTCTCTGATTATATTTTTATCATTATCACTTTTCTAATCTTTCATAAGCTATTAGTGAATTCAGCATGAAACATTTTATCTTTCATGAGCTATTAGTGAATTCAGTGTGAAACATTTTATCTTTCATGAGCTATTAGTGAATTCAGCATGGAACATTTTATCTTTCATGAGCTATTAGTGAATTCAGTGTGAAACATTTCATCTTTCATGAGCTATTAGTGAATTCAGTGTGAAACATTTCATCTTTCATGAGCTATTAGTGAATTCAGTGTGAAACATTTCATCTTTCATGAGCTATTAGTGAATTCAGTGTGAAACATTTTATCTTTCATGAGCTATTAGTGAATTCAGCATGAAACATTTTATCTTTCATGAGCTATTAGTGAATTCAGTGCGAAACATTTTTCATCCATTCTTTTATAATTTCTATTTATGGTTTTGCAGCCATTTCTAATATTAGTAGAAATATACAAGATATATAAAATTAATGTTACTTTTTGTTTGTTATTAGACATGTAGTCTCAATATGCCATGTGTGAGCAAACTTTGTTGTTTTGACAAGATCAGAGATTATAAATGTAATCTACAAAAATTTTGTATTTCCACAATTTCTTTGTTATAATAATAATAATACTATTTTTTTAAAGGAAAATAAGAAAAGATCTTTAAATATTTTTTAATGTTTTACTAAAAACAGCAGCCTGCCTGGAAACCACATAACTATAAAGGAAAATCAACTTTAAACGTTTCCATCAGCGAGTACGTGAGGTCTGTACAGGTATATCTATATTCTTTAAGCATCAAATGAAGAAGATAAATTTTAAGTGTTTGTAAACTGTTATCAAGTTTATTTAATAAAAAATGGTTTTCAGTGAGACATGATTGATCTAGAAGCTGGAAGTAAATCAATTATAACAGCAAAATATAAAAAAAAAAACATTCTTAGTACAAAGTTATGCAAAATAGTGCAAAAGGACTATTTTGAAATTAAAATATGATGTTAAAAATAATATTTCGAGCTTGATGAAACTGAAGTTGTATTTATCTTATTCATATTTTGTTAGGAAGTTAAAATAATGATGTTATTTAGTGTTAAAAATGATATATTTTGAGCCTGGTAAAACATAAGTTAGTATATTTATCATGTTATTTTTTAGGAACTTTGACTAATATTTACTTCTTAACAAGTTATTCTCAACAAATTACTATAAACAAAGACTGTTTTAAGAAATTGAGGAAATTGACTTTTCCGCAAAAGAGACATATCAGAAACAAGAAATAATCTGTAAAGGAGACACTAGGAAATACAAAAAAACACAAATAATGTATATAGGAGACTATTATGACATTAGGAAATACAAAAAAACACAAATAATGTATATAGGAGACTATTATGACATTAGGAAATACACAAAAACACAAATAATGTACATAGGAGACTATTATGACATTAGGAAATACACAAAAACACAAATAATGTATATAGGAGACTATTATGACATTAGGAAATACAAAAAAACACAAATAATGTATATAGGAGACTATTATGACATTAGGAAATACAAAAAAACACAAATAATGTATATAGGAGACTATTATGACATTAGGAAATACACAAAAACACAAATAATGTACATAGGAGACTATTATGACATTAGGAAATACACAAAAACACAAATAATCTATATAGGAGACTATTATGACATTAGGAAATACACAGAAAAGCCAGATTTGAAATAAGAATGCCATGTTAGGAAGTATATAAAAATAAGTCAGTACTGAAGCAAGAACAACCTCTATAGGAGACTAATGCCATGTTATGAAATATGCAAGAAAGTCAGATATGAAAGAAGAAATAATTTTTATGGAGGACCTACTCCATGCTATAAAGTATATACAAAAAAAAACTTAACAGCAGTTTTAATGTGCTATGTGTGACTTGTATTACACATTATATGGTAACAGGTGTTTATTTGTTTCTCACTTTGAGAAGGTTGTGAGCATTATCAAGAAATTTAGAATGTTGCTTTTTTCCATATATTTGTTACTTAAGAGAAAGTACATATTTCCTGGTGCAAAAATGACCTGTCTGTTTAAGGTTTTAGCATGGGGTGTTGCTTTCAGGTAAAAGGCACCATGTGCTGGTTTTATAAGCTTATTTTTTGTGTTTGTAGGCTTACAGTTTGTGGTTAAAAAATTAAATGGAAGTCAAATTTATCTGTACCTGGGCTCTTTGTTCACTTATGTTTGTGTCAATGTTAACCCTATTGCCATGGGTATCCTTTACTGTACGTGACACATTGTTTTAGTATCTTACATTAAAATTTTTGTTAAACTAGTTTTTATTTATGTTATACCAATTAGTATAGCATAAAATTTTAGCTAATAATCCATATTTTAGTAGTATATAAGAGTTAAGTTCTTAATTCTACAAGGCAATATCAAAATAAATCCTGAATTTCCCATAGTGTGACGCACTTGACACATTTTCTCTAGGTATCTTTTCATTTCTATTTTATTCCCCCCCCCTCCCCAGAAACTATGAAATTAAACATAAATTAATCAGTATAAAATTGTCATTGCTCAGACAAACCATAATTTTTATTGCCTTCAATTTTGTTTGGTTACAGAGCTATCAAATAGAAAATCAGACCCCTTCTGCCGCACCCACATGTCACATCCTCTATTTCAAGATTTGTTTTCTCTTTCAGGATTTATTAATAGTTCTCTTTTATATTTAGTTTTATATTACCTATAGCCAATAGAAAGTGAAGGTTGTCATCTATCAAATGTTGTATTGTATAATGTTGTGTTCTGAAAAGATAAGTGTCAGTTTCACTTACACTACACATTCCCATAGGAAACTAGCTTGGATTACTTTGTAATGGCTCTTGTCGCATAGTTAGAAAACCAGAAATATTTTGAGAGTTAGGGGAAGTTATCTACTTTTTGCAAGTTATTAGTATATGTTCTTTGGTGCATTATTTAATCAAATAGAAATTTAGTGCATTACTAACATTAGTATAAAAAAAATATGGTTAACTGTCATTGACAATTGACAGCAAGAAAAAAAGAAAATTGGGTAAGTACATTATTACTTGTTTTTCATGTTTATTCTTTATTTATTATGTTAAAGATAAGTAAAATAAAAAATAGAGATCTTTTTAGGTTAGTTGAGATTAGATTAGGTAAAATTAGTCATTCTAGAAAGAAAAAAATAATTTTGAGGTCAGTCACATTGGCCAACTGTGTATAGAGTTAGGGTAGAGAAAATAACAGATAAAATATAAAGTTTTACTGAAAACAAATATTTGAAATGTATTTAGGAGGTTTTGGAGATTATACAAATGAAATACGAGGTTTTTGAGATGAAGAAAAGTATTTTTAATGAAAATCACTTTCCACATGGACTATTCAAAACAAATACTCAATATATTCATGGACAAATCTTTATTTTAGTTTATTAAAAATACTTCACAAAAAAATATGATTTTTTGTATGTGAAAGCCTTGTCATGTTAACAGAAAGACTGCCAAATTTTGTGAAGATATCCAGTTTACACTGAAAGTTAGAAGTATTAAATCTATAAAGACTTTAAACTAGTATAAAGAGGTCACGTGGTTTGTCAAATTGACCGAACCCATGTCAAGAGAATTAAGGTACAGTTTGTATCAGTATAAGAAATTTTCAAGTGGTCTGTTTCATACCAACAAAAAAGACACACATACATATATATTATTACAAGTTTTATGTTTGACCTAGTAACATTTTTCTTTTTCATCTTGAAAATGTGTGATTATTTTTAATTAATAAGAAAATTTAGTTCTTTCATTATTGTAGGATATCAAATGTATGCAATAGACATGGGATCAAATTTTTATCTTTTTATAAATCATTTTATTAATAGGTTTTAATTTTGATGTCAATGTGTTCCAAAAACTGAATGATGTATTTAAATGTGTACAGCTTTGTTCCAGAGTTTTCTTAAATTCATTATTTTATTCTAAGGTGTATCAAGAGCTTCACTAATATTATAGTTTTTAATCTGCATTATGGATCTTTGAAAACCTTGTTTCTTTGTTCTGAAAGTTTGATCAGCCATGGTTTCCAGATGTGACTGAAGTATTCGGAAACGTGATTGTTAAGGCTATGATGGAAGGTGTGGAAACAGATGTTATCCTGCCATTGAGCCATGCCCAGCCTGGTCACCAACTTCAGCTGGAGAGCTTGACTCTACATCCATGTGTTCAAGCATCAGTTCTAGACTTAGACACCAGTTCTTTAGGTGTGACTACTTAACACCGAAAGTGATGACTGATATTTTTTCTAAATTTGTTATTAAGTTGTATAAATAAAAATAGGATTGAAAGCTTAACAGTTTAAAGTCATTTAATTTAAATTTTATTTTCAATGCTAAAAGTTATTATGGAAAAGTCATACAGAACTTTATTTTGAAGTATTTTTTCCTTCATATTACTCACTAAACCATAAAGTAATTTCTTCCAGAAAGACCAGGCATGTCAAAGAAGCTGCGTTTTTCTCCCCCACTTCATGAATTCATACTGTGTCAGTATAAAGTAAAATACAGTAAAGTGGCTCCAATCCTTGGAGTATACAAATTGAGAGTAAGTATTAATTCTTGAACTATTATAATAAAATTTATTTATTTTTTTTCCTCTAAAGGTAAATCCATCAAGAAGGTAAAACAAGATGGCCAGATGAAGACTTTCTTTGTCAAAAAAATTGATTCAAAAAATCAGAGGAACCACACTCATGTCGTCTGAGCATATATATATATTCTTACTGTTGTTCTACAAAACTCATTGTCGTTAGTGATAGTCATTGAACTTCACTCTCCCAATCAGAGGAACCTCTTATTTCATCTGAGGATACATATATCCATGATGTTGCTCCATGAATCTCATTATCTTTAATGTCAGTCACTGAATTTCACTGTCCTTGGTATCATTTCTATTAGTACCGCTGTCACCATTACCATACTATGAATATCATTGACCTACAGTGTATTGTACTATGATTTAGTATCCCCAAGGAATGTAGTTATTTATATCGTGTTTGCTCTTATTTGAAAATGATTGTCCACCTGTATCATTTTACGAATGTTGATGCTGCCTCACTGGTATTCAGAATCATGGACATTGATTTTCTTGCATTGTCATTGTATTTTTATTCTGTTAATTTCAATATCTCTTAGTGATGCTAACATATCATGTAGAATCAGAAAGTAGATTCTTCAGAAACCCAATACCCTGAGTGTGTTTAGAAGATATATCTTCATTCTCTTGAATGTCATATTTTCTTAATGATGTCTTTCAGCTTTATTCTGTGAATGTTGATATCTGTGCAATGTCACTCTGTGTCCTCCTGGTGTTATTCTATGAATAAAAGTATTCTCCTAGAGTCATTCTAAGAATAACGATGTCCTCCTAGTGTCCTTCTGTGAATATAGGTGTTCTAGTATCATTATATATGAATAAAGGTATCCTCCTAGTGTCATTCTGTGAATATAGGTGTCCTCCTAACGTTATTCTATGAATACAGGTATCCTAGTGTCATTCTACGGATGCAGGTGTCATTTTGAGAATACAGATGTCGTCCTAGTGTCATTCTGTGAATAAAAGTGTCCACCTGATGACATTCTATGAATAAAGGTGTCCTCCTAGTGTCATTCTATGAATAAAGTTGTCCTCCTAGTGTCATTCTGTGAATAAAGGTATTTTTCTAGTGTCATTGTAAGAATAATGTGTCATTCTGTGAATAAAGGCATTTTCCTATTGTCATTATATAAACAAGCAGAAACTCTGATCTATTGGTGGCTGTTTTTGCTAGTAATTACTAATCGTAGAATTCATACCTCATTGAAAAAAAAAGCAAACATTTTCTAAAAAAAGGATTTTTCTGGGAAGTACTGCACGGTAAAAGTGTTCGGATTGTGCTCATATAAGCTGTAATGTTTTTATATATTAAAAGTGGTGCTCTTTATTGAAAAAATATTTTTGGGGTATTATATTTACAAATGGCATCAACAAAGATATAT